CCGAATACTCAATTTAAAGGTTTTAAGCTGCACAAACAGAATATGTAGAAAAGGTTATTTTTTAGAATTGCAGGTATTTTTCACTGCTGAATGTCTTTCAGGTCAGAAATTCAGGTCTACATTTCCCTATCTATCAGTATTACATATGTAACAGAAGCAGAAGAATAGGTCTAAACTATATATATATATATATATATATATAAACAGTTCCTGACTTTATAATTATGTTATCATTAGATTAAAGTTGGTTCTAGACATGAGAACGTAGCATAAATCCTCAGAAAATGCAAGTAAACAATAAGATTGTTGATAACATGTGGAAGACAACGAAACAGATGACTGGAGAATTCGTTTGACATGTCTCAGAATCAATTTAACCTTTGAAATGCTAATTATGGTTTATTTCAACTACCTTTGACTTATTAGAACCTATGTAATACGAAGTAACATTGTTCCATTAATCTCTGTTCCGTTTTTTCCGATATGTTATTGACACTGCTGATAATATGAATTTTTATTCCTAATTCTTATCTTGTAAACTTTCACTGAGAGCTAGGGCAAACTATGTCGCATTTTTCATACTTTTTCACCCTGTGGTTTCAATGAAATTTGAACTATTAAATGACAAAATCAGCCAGATAATTTAACAGAGGGAAATGTTTATTGACCATTCATTCACACGACAGCCTGGCGGAATATCTAATAACTGACTAGATGACAACTTCAAGCTGTGGAGTGCAGCAGGATGCTTCTTCTTTCTTAAGTTATTCTGCTTGGCTCTATAGCGACACCAACTAATCTTGAAAGCCTTCTTACACAAACAAATCACAGAACCCATCCAAGCTAAAATCAACCTTCCATTCGTTATTTTTTATGAGTATTCTTCGTAAGTATTCATTTGATGCCAGTAAGACTGAAGTTAAAGGGAATTAAATTAGGGACAGATCTATTGTTAGTGTGATTAACATGAATGAGATAAACTCTTCATAATTTACAATGCAAATTGAAGCAAAAGGAAATCAGGAAAGGTCAAAGAGGAGGACAATTTAGAACAGCAGTTACCATAGTAAATCTACGTAATAACACATAATAGATAAACAGAAGATGGGAAATCGACATTGAGTCCTTAACAGATTGGAGATTGACCTTATGAAAAACTTCAGAGAGATTTTTCAAAAAAAATGTTAAAAAAAGCCTCTGAAGATAATCCTGATGTTATCTTTAACGACCTTGAATAAGAATGGGTGTTATACGGAATACTGACTGACTGATAATATCCAATTCCATTTGATTGTTAGAAAAGATGAATCAGTGACACCAATTTCTACTACGTATCACATATTAGTTTAATGAGTAGTCGATATCTGAATCCAAGTTATGAAACGCTAAGAAAGAATAATGATATCACTTTCAAAGCTTTTATATGCATTCTGCGAAAACTTAACTCTTATTTAGTGTTCAACTGTACCATGTTTCCATGTAGTTAGAAAGGTGAAATTTTAAAAACCTATTGTTATTTAAATTTGTCAATTATTTATGTATACATATACACTAGGAACACTCAGTTAATTCAGAAGTTGATTGGTGGATGGAATGAGCATTTCGTCCTATTCGGAACTCGTCAACCGGATTTACCTGCACCCCGCAGTCAGTGATGGTGTTCCCACCGGGGCTCGAACTCAGTACCCATAGTTTCAAACGCCAAAGCGTTATCCAATAGACCACTTGGTCCACGAGAGCCACTTCTTGTGCAACGGGTCATATTAATTATTGAATTTAATTTTAGATCGGTGGGAACACCATCACTAACTGCGGGATGCAGGTCCATCCAGTTGACGAGTCCAAAATAGGGCGAAATGCGCATCCTATATTCCACTGCTAGTCACCATCCACCAGTCAACTTTTAATCACACTCAGTTAATTTAGTTTAAATGTATTCATATGGTTTAACTAATTACTTGTATAATCAAGTATCATGCTGGTTATCAGACAAAAAACAACTTTCTCAATTTCTGAATAGAATATGAATCTTTGCTAAAATATTTTTTTACCAATTGACTGGATTTTGCACATACTGTACGCATTTATCAATTTACCTGATAAAGGAAAAAAATAATTAAATGACTGATAGTAACTGTACAAAGATGAAACGACAAGATTTGAAAGCGTCTTCCCACTACAAAGTCCACGCGCATTCACCGTAACATACCACAGTGATTGCATCATCAAGCCATTCTATGACACTGGAATTTGTTACACGTTTATTTCACAGCTGTTTTGTGGTTGATTAGGCTCATAACTCAGTATAGCAAAGAAATAATCATTGTTGAGTAAGCCCAATAAATGATACAATGATGAATTTGTATTTCTAAGACTTTTGTTCTTTTGATAGTGTTCATTTCGGTACTATAAATTATTCTTAATGTTTGATCTCATACATATAAATGAGTAGGGAACAAGTATAATTAAGTAGAATGTGACGGAATGTAGGCACCAAATGTAACTCTGAATTCATCAACATTCAAGATATCTGGTTTTGCAACATTTGTGACAACGGCGGCAATGCAAACTATAAAAATAATCACTCACAAGTAAAAACTTGCATATCTCATATTATAAAATCTAAAAATTGGTTTCTCGCATATGAATTCATTATTTATACTGTATAGTTAACTCTATGTAATTATTGGAAATGAGTCTCATTAACTCATTTATTATATCTTTCATGACTATTCTAAACTGTATGAGTTCAAATAATAATCAGGATATAAATTATATACAACATTAACTTATAGGTAACTAAGCAAGTCTTAATTAATTTAATAGAATCACTCTGGAAAATAAAAAAAGTATAAAAGAGATAAACTGCTATAGACGTTCATATTTGACTGTCACATACCATAAATATTATGCTCAGAAGTTTGTATATTTACAGATGAAATCAACTCATTCTTGTTGACATCTTGTTTCTCAGCTTCATTAAGAGATTCTAATTCTTGTAAAATTCCTGGATACTTTTCATCTGAAGAGTAATCCACATTTATAGGGGAATCTAGATTTTTAAATTCATATTCATCTAGACTATGACGTTTATTCATTATATAACAGTAGTTTGGTGAGATTTGTGGTTCTGTTAAACATGAATCTGTGTCAGTATCAGTCGATTGAATCTCCTCCTGAATATTTTCCAATTCAACCTGAGATAAGCTGGGAATTTCACTATTTTTTCTATGCATGACACTAACACTGATTTCACTGGCTCTTATGTCAACACTTTGACTACTTGATGACGGTGAATTAGTAGAATCTGGTGGATTTATCTCAGTTTCTTTTACACTGACGCTCACTGAATCGACATAAATTGTTGGAGATGATGTTGGAGAGTGCTGTGTTTGGCTAGACAACGAAGTAGGATCTTCGTACGTTTGTTTTACCATAGGGTGTTCTGACTTATTCTGTTCACTTGAAAGATAAGAACTTGGTGTATAATCCCTCGATGAATCGTGAGTTTGACTCGGGACAACCGTTTGATGACGAGAATTGATACTTCGGACAACGTTAGTATTCGTAGTACTTGTCAAGTTAGTGCAGATAGTGGTCGGTTTGGTCTCATCCTCAACAAGCTCTATAATAGCCTGGGCAAATCCAGACAGTAGTCGAGAGACTGGATTGGTGAACATTTCGAGTTACACTGTCAATGAAACGGTTGTTAATTCCTTATCACCTACATAGTACACTTGGGTGTTTTAAGTAAAATAATCCACAACGTATAGGGAATCAGATGTAAGATATGAATTTATTTGAAGTTCTGTTTATGCTTATTATTCATCCATATTCTTTCGTGTTATAGATAAACGGTAGGTAGGCGAAAAAATGCATTCCATTCATTGCCTTCTATTCAGACGAAATATAGAATACGTACGTTTGCAGAAAAAATTGAACTGTGAGCAGTTATTACACTTGGCTGTTGAAGCTATTTATCCACCATAAATTTGCAGCAGTTCACGTGTTGGCATTTTATGTTTTTGTGACTTTTTAATTGTGTTAGTGTGCCTTTGTGAGTATGAATATGTCTGTCTCACTATATATAATATATATATGAATGTTTGATAATAGTTATTGCCTGTTTATTCCTCGCTTTCCTATAGTTTTTCAATTGTTCTTTCCTCCATTCCACTATCTTCCTACCCTATAATATCAGTAACAGTCTAGAACAACCAATCCTGTCTCACAGATGCTAAATACGTATCATGCTCACAATAAAAGATATATCCAGTCTCGAAGTTCAATTATGAATTAAGTGTTCTTTCCCACTTTGACTACGAGAGAGAGATCATCTACGCATCTCTAGTAAAAATCAAAATTGTTGATCTCTACCTAGTCAGCGTTTCTGTACTACGCAGTTTCTTGGATAGAGATCAGTTTGTGTGTGTAATTAAGTCCTATACAGAATAGGTCGTGATTCAGACGGATTACTAGTGAAAAACTCCTATTATGGCATCACCATAGATATTGAAAAAAGTTTCCGATAAGTCTTATTCAGTATATACAAAACATGCAATACTTTAGTTATATTCCAACCACTTCCTGGTATACTTGAAACTTTAGGGATGTTAATTTCAAGCCTTTCATAATACCCACTTATGACACTATTCAAAGAAGATAACAAATCGATCATTCAGACAGGTTTTTCTAACTGTGTTTTATGCCTAGATGAAAAGTCAATTAAAAATAACAGACAAAAGGAGTATATATATATCCTTTGTACTTCTTTTGAAAAAGGATGAAATGTGTGATTTAGAGCACTTTTATGATCTCCAAATAAATGAATAATACTATTTTGCAAAACAACATTAATTAAGGTGCTTTCAAAAATTAAAGGAAAACAAACAACTATAACCACACTAGTATTTTTTCTGCTAATATTACCACTACTACGGATTTATATGCATATATATATATATCAACTCAAATCGTCTCCACAAAAACAACTGACTTACTTTGTGTAGCCAACTCATCAACTGAAGGATCTTTAGTTGTCCAAGATAAAAGGCGTTCTTTTTCATAATGCATTCGTTCTATTTGCGGTTTACGCGCTTCAAGTTCCGTAAGAAATTGCTGTGTGTGGATAAGATAAGTGTTTATGAGGAAAAATGAAATCATGTAGGATAATGAAATAGAAAGTTATAGATTTAAACATGAAGGTAATGCATTTATTGAAGGTGAGATTTCCCAAAGTAACATAAGAATCAGAAGGGGGGATTAACTGAACTCGGTATACAGCCCTTGTAATAAAAGATATCAGTTATTGTTCTATTTACACTGCTAATTAAACTCGTTTCTGTTTGGGATTGTGCGTATGCTTTGCTGAGAAAATTAATAAGAAATATTAGTTAACTGTTTTTTTTCTTCCCCCACCATTTTCTAAATGGCGGTTGCTAGTTGTGTACATTAATTGGAGTCTGAATAGACTTAATATTAGAAAATTTTCATGTTCAGTCTCCTAAGCAAATCTATGTTGCCAATCAGAATAATGACAAAGTATCGAAGAGCTGCTTAATTTTGAAACTTCATGACATTTCTTCACAAAATATGCACATATGATATAGAATTTTATGATACAACTACCAAAGGAAGAAGGAAATACGACACTGCATTACTTAGGTCGCTCAATACCTCCTAGTATGTTTACTTTAAAAGGCTTTTGCACTAATAACTTATACTGTGGAACGTCTAAATGAGCTTTCAGAGTATGAATGAACTAATAATCTCTTAAACATCTCTGTTGTTCATGTCAACGGGATGATAGTTACGATAAATGTCTAGTCATAAATATTATTCAAGGTCTACTGATTACTTGTGTAACCTAGTCAATATGGCAATAGAAACGATATACCAGCAACATGCAGAAAGGGTAAACAGGAGTAAACGAAATGTAGGAGCAAATGAAATATTTAGATTGTGCTCATAATTTATGCATTTGAGAAAAAGAACGACCTAGTTACTATAACGACCTTTTCCCAACCAGTCCATATTAATCCACTATATTATATGTTCTACAGAGAAAGATTTTAAGACCGGTTTAATGCATTCGCCTTAGCCGTAAGCATAACTAACTAGTTAGTATGAGTTATCCCATTTTTGATCCAAATCATCTCATTGATATGGAAATAATTCTACAGAAAAATGGCTTCTAAGTAAACTATCCAAATGCCAAAAGTTTATAATATTATCAACCCTGTGGGTAAAAAAAAGTAGAATTCATTATCCATTTTCGATATACACAAATAAACATTTTACCTAGAATAGCCCAGCCTTCGTCCCAATAGATAAAATGGTCATGATGTAAAACAGAAAAACGGTATATATATATATATTTAATAAACGATAAATTTACTGCCTGCTGTATTTGGGAATTTTTTCATCCGGAAACTTAATGATTGTGTTACTGAGCTGTAATTGTGAATTCCTCTTGAATTCTTCTACTAACAACTTGCTTTGAACGCAAGTTACTGACCATAATTAAACTTTGGCCTTATTGCTACAGATACAATGGAGTCCATTTCTAAGTTATATTAAAGCTAATCAATTCAGCCTCATGTTCTTTGGTTAATGGTAGCTAGCAATAGAGTCCAGGATGCACGTTTCATTGTGTTTGGGAAACAACCCCAGGATCTATACACCTGGTGTTTTCACTTATCGTTTTAAATGCCAAAGTGTTATTCATCAGGTCACGCGATAGTCACTTTTCGTGCAGTGGGTATCAGATGTTATATGCTCAGTTTAACTTGAATTTCCTGCTGGTTGATTTATACTGAACTGAAACAGTCAGTCTCCGTTGACATCTTGGCTCCTCATACTGACGTTAAGACAATGTCTGAGGGGCAGTATGATGTAATTTGGTTTGTGGTATCATGCTGACTATTAGACATCAATGAGGTGTCTACATGCCAACAGAGTCCGAGCATTTCAGTCCAATATAACCAAATTAACAGGAAATTCAAATGAATTCGAACAAATAAATCAACTGTAATTTATTTTACGGTTATGCATTTTGGTAATTAAAATATCCAATTTAATACAGTTGCAGATAATAGACAATTAGTTTGATAAATGAAGTTGTCATCTAAATAAATACGTTTCTTTCAAGGTATACGCTGACATATCATAGGAAAAAAAGTAATATTTTTTCCCAATTGCTTCATAATCTAGTTAGTTAGTGTTCCAGCCCATAGTCAGTTACACTGTTACGCATAGTAGGTGTCTAAAAGGAGTATAAAGTGAGCAGTGAAAAAGCTAGTGACAAACGACGTTACAAATTTTGAGCATTGGTGAATACTGATGAAAAAAGGATTATATTTATGAATGTTAATGTACAGACAGCATCCAATGACAATGATTTTGCAACCTGACAGATTGCTATCTCTGATTGACTTAATGTAGTGAAAAATACAGAAAAATAAGCCGTTTAAGTCCGTGAAATATATAATTCCTTTTTTACTGGTTTAGACCATTGTAAACCAATTTTTAAAATATAAAAATGGCTTCTTTTTTTAAAAAAGACATTGCCCTGTCCTCCTCTAACCACTGGATTTGATTATGTTATCATTTAAAGCATATATGTATGTGTATATATGTTGTATTCAGTCATATTTAGGAGTGATTTTGATCCGCTTCCCTCTCTTTTTGTAACATCGAAGTTGGCAACTTTTAACTAACTGAAATTACTCAAACGTTTGTGTCAGGTATTCAGAAATATTGATTTATATTCCAACAGTAGGCATGGCATTTAGAAGTTGCATAGAGATATGCATGAAAAATAGTTGATTCGTTGATTATCAACTTTGCGTAAATTGCATTCAATTACAGGCATTGAATTCACCGCAGTCAGTCAGTCCGCACTACCTCTTAGTTCCGTAAGCCATATTATTTTAAGCAATTATTGTTTAAAATAAGGGTCAGTTTGTCCAGCCTTATTAAACACTGATATCTCAATGGTCAAAGAGTTGGTCTCTTTACCTGTAGGTCATAGGTTCAGTCCTCGGTGGGGCCATGGGTGCCTACAAATGAAGAATCTCCAACTAAGACGAAAGGCTTTCCAATAATCTCTGGTTTTCAGTTGTTCTCTAAGTGATATCAATCTGCGATCAAACTTGAAACCAATCAAATGCCTACAAACTATCACATGAAATATGTTTTATAAGTATATGGGTCTTATCAGAATGCAGAACAGCAAAATCACCAAGCAAAGCTTGTATAAGACTAAAGGCTTCCAGTTTAACAGTGATTAATCAGTTTAGACATATACTGTTATATGATGAGACGTGTGATAGCATTCAAATATAAATATAATGACATAAATCTATATTTCCGTACCATATGTAAACATACATTCCATAAGTAGGCTGGCAAAAGTATAGGAGAAAATACTCTATTTAAAACGTATCTTCAGTGTCTAATAGGGAGAACATGACTGAATAACAAACTATATTCTTATCATAGCCCTTAAATATTTCCTAACTTATAGATTCCTTTTCAATGGCTGACATTCCAAGTCATACCTGGGCGCAACTCAACATCCGGTGGGAACTATTTTCAGCAGTTCTGTAAAGGTGACTCCAGATAAAATCTTACGGTCATTCAATGCCTTCAACCTAACACCAATCCTGTCTAACATCTGTAAAAGTAGGACAGTTACTGAGTAGTAAATATGTCACTTAATGGGAAGTGGAAAATCTGTCTATTTAAAATAAGATATAAAATTGAAAAAAAACAGTGTTGTCAGTTGGACTTCTTGAGGTTTTACTCTAATAAATTTCCCCAGGGGCAACCACACTACTTTAACAGATTTTATCGCTGTATATGTCCTTATTATTAACTGTCAATTCTTCTTCATAGCTATCATCATCACCTTATTATTATTATTCACAATAATATTTCAGTACAGCTGACAAAGTATACTGATTGGTTTATAACTTGATATCCACGTGCATTGTTATGCACATTGACGTAAAGCCAGAGGAGATGCAGTTGACAACACTATGGTTCTCTGAAATGCTTTATGATGAATCGCAGAGTCTCATCATGAATCTCATCAAAATACTCTCACCTAATGAGTTAGCGCATGCATTGTAACAAACTATTTACTTTACTATCACCAACCATCTAGTAATCCTGTGCATAAGGGACACCCATACAATGCAGACAAAATTATAAGAGAAAACTGAGTATATTACTTAGTATATACTAAATCCACTGAAGAGGAAACAACCAGCAAGTACGTAGTAAGTAGTAAACTTCAGTGTAACCATAGTAATTCTGAAAACAAATTACTTATCTCATAACTAAATCTCGCTCCCAAGTGGAAAGTAAATTTATTTATCCCACTACAGATTATCAGACAGGAGTGTTATCTGCTGATTCGAGAATTATAGCATTTAGTAAGATAGTGTTGAACGTACACAAAGAAAATATTTTGTATTTGCTGTGTGTATGTGAGCTACTTTATTCTAATAGTGGTAATATCTATAATATCAAAACACTAAAAAAAAAACGAAAATGATGAATACAATCAACTTACTTTTATTTTAAGTTGTATAGTGGCTGGATGATAGATGACCAGTTTATCTGATAAGATTCCATCAGTCACAGCTTGTTTTATTTGCTGCAAAGTAAGAAAACACATTAATAGCTTTCACTGGCAAAGCATAAGTAGGCATACAAAACATTCATCTTGAAAATCTGATTCCATCCGATAAGTCCAGAATTAATTAGCAAAGCAATGCAAGTTAGTTACTTGATTTGAAATGGATTTCTCGAATTTTTTCAGCCAGCAATCTTGACCGATAACATTAACAACTCTCACTGTATGATCACTTACTCCCTCGATAACTGTGGATGGTGGAAAGCACTGGGTTTCTGAATCTGAGTGGAAGCACATTCACTGTAGAGTGTGAAATAATGGGGTTATTCTGTCCTTAAAAATCTAAATTAAGGAGAAATGTTCCACTAATCCATCTTGTTTCTAAAATATTTCGACTGACTTTTCATTTATGAAGAAAGCCTCTGCAAAAATTCTCTTTAATGAGGATGACTGTATTAATTTATGGTTGTTAAATGATACGGGGCTTATTGACTTGATTCTGTTTTTGTCTTCAACAGGATAGACAATTAATGGACAAGAAAGACAAGTAATAAATAGAACTTATCGTTGTGTGTAAGCTATTGAAATATAAATTGTAATATATTTGATCTATTCCATAATGCTCAAACTTTTTACTGACACTGAAGGATAAGTAATAGTTTACTTTATTGCAGTCAACCTCAACCAGGTCTACAGATTTATTTGCATGTAATTCGGTGTGTATGTGTGTGTGCGCGCGTATGGTTATTCAGAAATATATCTGTACTCATTTATTTCGATATTCGCAGTCTTTAGACAACATGAAAACAAAGTGGCTATCGAAATGTATAGAGAACTAATCACCTATCAGTTAAAACTTCTGTTATGCTTTCTAAATCTATACTTGTTACTCTAGTACAGTGCTTCCTTAATTTATGCGAAAAGATATCAGTTACAAATCTACAGAGTTTCCCATGAAAATATGCATTCTCTCTCTATCTCTTGAAGAACAAATGAACACATTTGCATGATTAATCTTTAACTTTTATTAGAAGATTGGTATATCTCTCTCGCTCATAATTCTGGTTTATGTAAATTATTTCAGTGAGCAAATGTCTCAAAGATTTGTTTGCAGATTTAAATTTTAGATAGAGAGAGTAAATTACTCGTTAATGTGATCTTCTAACATCCAACCAATACGCCATAGATTTCCATCATTCCCGTTCTACTGATTTCTATGGTACCATCTATCAGCAGGTATTTAAAACAAGACAGTTTATCTCTTTAACTAGTGTACCCATGTTAAGCAAATGTTAACATTGTCTTATTGAGCTTAACACTGATTGACTGACTGACTGGTCTCAATATAGAACTCTGCACAAATATACTACTCTCCGTATAGCAAGAGAAGAGGGTAAAGAGAGTTTCAAAAGAGAGATAATAAATGCAAGTATGAGGGAAGAAAAATAGAGTTTTATTGGATATTATAAATCACAGAAAGTGAATGCGTCTGCTCCACTGAGAGCGATTTTCAGCCATATCACCAACTGTCTCCAGCCTCTGATTCTTACCATCCCGAAAACCCCAATCAGGAAGTCTGCACCTCCCTGCGTGGCTCAAACTAACTGTTATGGATTTCATTAACTGAGTTTAACACAGTTTTATTTATTTGAATGAAATATTACTTCCGTTACAATTAATGCCGCTCGAGTTAAAAATAAATCTATAGGATATAAATTTTTCAAAGTAGCCTTTTTTCTGTGGTGTAGAACAAAGTTGATGCAATAAAAAAGCTTTGAAAAAAAGGTAAAGTTGGAGGAAATATCATTTCTTTTGATTTCATGATGATGTTTCAATTTTCAGTCCATTCGTTACTAATTTTTATTGTAATTGTATCAACAGTTTATCTTCGACTAGCTGAGTATTGAATAAACGGTACAATTCGTCGGTGAAATTTATTTTTGTATATAATATTGCTAACTTGTATGTAGGTTAAAAGTGAACATCTCTCATTTTATATTTAAAGCAGTTTGCATAAAAACCCGTCTTCAGAGAAGGTTCTTAATTTCAAGTCGTACGTGTTTCTATGCTCTCTCGGATAACATATAGTTTCCAAGATATTCTTCTTTAATTCATGACTATCTGATTCAAACTTATTGGCTGTTAAGCATTTTTTATGCCATATAAGTTCGACTTTGACATTTATAAATACCTTGGTCATTTTATGATGAGACCGACTTCGTTTTTCGATCATTCCCTGAATTTGTGTACTCAACAAATCATTGTAACCAGCTGACAAATCATAGATGTACGCACAGTTTTAGAGTTTTGTCTGTGGAATTGCGTGTATGCGATATATATATCCATAGTTTCCGAAGTAACCTGAATAATAAAATGACTACAATAGTCATTTCATATAATTCACAGTAATACTATAACAGACTAGTTTAGCTAAACGGCCAATAAACTCAGCAAGTGTTTGACTATTTATGGCACTTGCCATTAATCTAGCCTTATCAGATAAGCTTGTGTGTTCAATACAGTCAATCGAGTATTAAAAAAGCCTCGCTGATGATTATTTTCGTAGTCACACAGTTGGATACAGCGGTTTTCATTGCAAAGTGTTTTTATCTGTTAACATTCTAATGGATTCACTGAGGTTTTGTTAATAAAGGATAGACAGTATCAACCATCACGTGAGGTGATTTACTTATCTGGTGTACCCTAGCTGATATCGGCTGATGACAAAGTCCACTGTGCAGTGAAATCATACTTTGCAGTAAGCATAAACCAATTGAAGATATATAAACTGTCGCTCCTTTCATTAAGAACTTTAAGAATGTGCAGTTGATTAGGCTTAGGGAAAATTCGGCCTATCATATTCATCTTAGCTTAATTCTGATTGACTGATTGCCTTATAATGCATATACAGTGTCTTTCCTGTTAAATAACCCTTTGATATTTTCAGCTTACCCTCTGATTGGTTAACGAGACATGTTCACTCTTTTATATGCTTGTGTGCAACAAGAAAGTTTCAGATGAATTAATTAAATCTTATCATTTAAATACATTTGGACGGTTTTAATTTATCTCATTAAAATACTTCGTAAAACATGCAAGACTAGGAAGAAAAAAAACGATGCATACATATGTGTATATAAAGTATGTAACATATAATTATTCAGTTACCTGTAATTGTTGACTTTCAGTTTCTTGGTCAAATCGATCGCCGAGTTTAGCTTGACTAGTTTCAAGTACATTTCCGATTGTAGTCAACCAACGAGCTAACTGTTGTACCTCATTACGCATTCGATTCAAAGTGGGTGATACGGATTCATGCGATATTACAACTGACATTGATGGTGCAGTAGAGGCTGAATTAACGGTGACTGCTGATGTAGTTTTACAGGTTTCATTCAGTCGAACTGTGCTTATTTCAGATGGATCTACAGTTTCATAAAAGCTGTTCATTGGATTCCCAAGTACAGATCCAGTGTTTGTTGAAATTTCAGTCTTTAGATGATACTTAATTTCAAACAGGAGTGTTTATTTTTCAGATATGTAGAATGTAGACAAGTCAGGTGGTCAGAATGAACGAACAGGTAACGAAACGAAGCAGAGAAAAAGAAGAACGGATGAAGATGATGATACGAATCAACAAATGTTAATTTGGATCACTTTAATAAATCAACAAAAATGAGACAACCTGTGTAGAATAATACAGAATCGTTTTTATTTCTATTTATCATTCGCTTACAGTGTATGTGGAAAAAATCGTACATTTGTTTGTTTGCTGTGACTGGTTTGACAAGGCGATATTGACTGAAGAAGAGGACTAAGAAAAGTGTCACCGTAGACTGGGGAACAAAAACCATTCGTATGAACTTTTATTCTGTTGATAATTTCTTCGAGGGGATGCTTTAGGTGCGTCAAAAATGAATTCAAAAAGTTGACGTCACAAATTGCGTAAGCAGTTCACACTACTTAAAAGATACTTGAACAAACACTGAAGGAATAGAGGAACGGAATTCAGACAACCAGTACAGAAACTTAAGATGCAATACGATTAAATTCCATCGCAGATGAATCCTCAAGTAGAACAACACTATAATATCAATAATGTAATCTAGTGTCGAAATTAATAAGCTTCACTTGCGTAAGACAGATAAATAGGTGGGTAGAGAGACAGACATGAATAGACATGATGAAAACCTACACAAAAGTGCGTCGCTTCAAACAACTATGCATCACACCAGCACATATGAACAAGATCAGAAGTAGCAGAATGATATAAAAATAAACTTGGGAGAAATACTTAGCAAAAGGAATAATATGATTTCCAGAATTAAGAAAAACGAATTCAGATCTCTGATATTTTGACTCGTTTCGAGTCATACAAAAATCTTCAAATAATGACCTCTCCCACCAAGAAGATAGCAGCTGGGAAGTTGACACTACATGCAGCTAATATGTTGACGGGTTATTCGTACTGGTGGTTTGAAGGCTTTTGGTTTCTGATCAGTTCTGTGACAGTGTAACAACTATCATTTGAAAGCAAATAACTACATACATATATTCGTACCTTTCCTGTTGATGCCGGGGCTTTTAATAGTAGAATATTTCACAATTAACAGTTTCTTCACAAGTAGTCATTCACCCAGAGACATGTGTTATCGACTAGTGGAATCCATTTTATATTGTCTGGAATTCAAGATCTGCTTTTATTAACACTATGGGTATACAGACAAGAATTTGACTCAGTATATTCTTTATCTAATTTTGAATGTATCGACGTAAGAAGGCGTCTAATATAAAGAAAAGAAGCTATGGATATCTATGTATTCTTGTAACTTTTATCGTTATTCTCGTGTAATGTAGTCATTAATCAAGTTCGTCAAATTATGGTTCGTCTTAACACTTTACTGAGTTGTCTTAGTTGACTAGTTACTTCAAACAGCTTAGCTTTCAAGACACGCTTATCCTGAAAATCGTGAACTTCAGGTTCAATAAGCAACATAGTAATCAAGTCTTAGCCTAACGTGGTGGCTACTGATTACCTAAATAACATTGATCGAGATCTAGGAGATTTCAGATTGAATACATGACAATTTTTTAGGTAAGTCTCATCTTGACACTGAATAACTTCAGTTTTTCTAGCAAATCATGGACAAGTGTGCCATTAACTCTTTATGATATAACAGTGGAAAAACTTCATCCTTACTCAATGACAAAAACAACATACAAATTAGTTCACCTGAACTCATTTTATGCCTAGAAAATACATTATGGAAACGAATACATTATGAAGCATTAGGTACCTTCTGTCTTCCATTCAGACTGCCTTAGTTTAATTATGGAGATCAGTTGTTCAACGCCTATTAATTCGTAGTCGTTAATACAAACTACCGATGAGTCATTGTGACCTGTAACAATATGGGCGATTTTCTCTAAAAAGGCAGTGGTCAATCAGATTCCTGGCAGTTATCTATACTACCTCAAATTAAATCGATATCATTTGGGAAAATCCCGAACAAAAATGAATTTGACTCCTATATCCGTTCACACCTGTGCACTGAAGAAAGACCGAAATCAGGACCGTCAGGTATTATCAGTCAGTGGTTTGGATTTAATGATCCATGATTCTTAATTTTTCTCGTTTCGGGATATAGCACACCTGCCCAATGTTATTCGTACCATGAATTCTAAGATCGATGAATCCTTACTAGAACTTCAAAAAACATTATCTTAAACTTAGTTTCTAATGAAGTGTTTGATTTTTGAATGATGTTTTCAGTAATGTCTGTTATTTACGAAATCCAAAATTGGAAACATTTAACAGTGCAAAGTAGTTAAATGCGTATACACATCCTTTTTATCATTTTCATTACGCATTATGTATTGAAATAAAAAAATAACAATAATCGATATTGTTTAACTTTTATAGACTTCACTTGAATTGTAAAAGGCAGTAACTGGAATTAAACCACAAAATAACCGTCTATCTCCAACAGAACAATACTGCATAAAAGCAGAAAATATGTTTAGGGAGAAATGGTCAAAGCTGTGGAGCCATGAATTGTGGAACAGAACAGTATCAGTTGTTTACCGATTTTCAGTGTGACTACTTCCCAATAAATCAATATTTTTAATCTGAACTATCACAAAAGCTCAGAATAAGATTGAGGCCCTCTTGTTTAACATTTGTTATTTTCATAGCCTATTTGCGGTTACCTACTTAAAGGGAATAAACAATAAAGATTTGCTTTCAGTTATTTTGTTTCTCTTAAATACACACAAAAGCTTTTTCAGCTGTAGAAAATTAATTTGTAGTCATTTCCAACGTTGTTTTCACAACTACTAGTTAACATTTTGGTCGCCAGCCTCCTTATAATCATGAGTAATCGGTAGTTCCAAGATAAATCAGCTACAGAATGAGTAAATCCTATTTGAGTGATATAGAGAAGAAATAATATATTGTGATCCTAGTGTTATCAGTCTACGAAAGAAAACAATGACAAAATGATGTGGGTTTCGAAAATACCATTCTGCTGAAAACAAAGAAGCCTAACTCTGGTGGTGTCAGCTGAATAGACTCTCGTGTGGTGTTTCTACCATTGCGATCTGTTTTCTAACGGTGCATATCGTATAATTCATATATGATTTATAAAGGCGGATCCTATATTGTTTGAGACTTTTATTGATAACTAATTCATTCATAGTTTCTTTCAAATATACAAAAATCTCAAATATTGGGATAGTCCCCTAAAATGTCTAAATAATAAAGACAAGTATGAACATTGTCAGAGAATGCATCGTTTACTTGAGGCTGAGAAGTTCAACGTACATTAATGTCCACATGGACTGCTACAAAAAGGACACAAAACTGATATGTACTGTATATTTTGTTATTCGCTAAAGTGAAAACAGTCAACTACACTTTCATTATCTTACCAGTACCTATGATACATTATGTGTACAGGCCAAGCTGTAAAGCCACTTCACTTGTCAAAGATTCTAATGTTCAATTTCTGATGCGATTATGTAAATAAAATTAATACAGTTAAAATTAATATCAAAGTGACCGAGGCTTTAGTTATATTCTTCATCAGAATTAATCATACTCACATTTTCTAAAGCATTTACTGTAGACTGTGATTCTGATGACAGTTGTAATGAACTACTCAAATTATCCCATTCATTCAATATCTCTTGAACATAATTGTGAATTGAAGCCGAGTATACGAATCTCAGTGAACCATGATTAAGTTGGTTTAAATCATACAAGTGACTCTGAGCATTCTTCCAAAGATTTCCCAGTAATACTAATTGTATGCCCAGTTTACCATACTGCGGGTCTAATTCTTTGATATATTCATTCTGGAAAGAGTTAAAAAGAAAGGTTTTATAAAGTCAGTGGAAGAGTAAAAATTACGAAGAATAAATTAAATGGAATAGCTTAGATTATACATTGTTTTCATTCGAATAAATTTATCTCGCATGTCCGCAGGAATATGAAATAGAGAATAAAAATGTTTTTATAAAGCATACCAGTCAGTGTATTAAGCTTAGACATATCACAGCTAATCAAAATATATATCAAAATGACTATTAAACAGATTTCTCAACTGATCACAGAGATTGTCCTGACTATATAGGTGAACAAACCTATTTGAAAGACATGAAACGTTAGTTAGTAAGGCATTTTAAACTTTCTTCGTGTACAGACTTATAATAATTCATTCATAAATTATTTTATAAAATAAAAACTGTTCATGAATAAATTGGGTGCAAGAATTCTCTGCCAACAGTTCAGATAACTGAAGATTCGTGACTTTTAAAGGGGGGTGTTTGCCCAGTGCTAATGAATTCAATTGGAATCAGAGTTATACATCAAGCTGACAATTAATTTTAATTTTTACAGTGTATTTCATAATATAAAACACGAAGACTTACAGTCTTAAGTTTTTATACTTAATGAAGTATTTTTTCCCTTGAGTAACAGAAATCAAAATGGTGGCCTTTTCTGATGAAATCTCAGCCCGTCTTATTTATAATGTGGCTAAACTACAGTCTAATGAATACTTTCTCTTAAATATTTAGCTTTCAGATTAGAACTGCAGATAGTGACTTAACATTTCCGGTAAAAATATTACTCAACAGATGGATTTAGTTATTCATTTGTGGTAATACGATGAACAGGTGTTCAGCGTTAAAATATTTGTTAAAAAAATTTTATTCCTTTACGTTCCCAGTAATACATAGGGCTTCAAGCTAGAGGCTTGAAGTTTCGGTAGCAGTGGTATTTATTTTAACGAGATGGGGCTGCCCAACGTTGCCTTTTTACCGGTCTTATTACTGGCTTAGCGAGGTAAGGGAGTGCGTCGGACGGGGGTCGAACGCCAAAACACCTGATTGGTTGGCGATCATTCTACCGCTGTGCCACTGACGCACGAGCTAAATCACAATTGGTTAGCTACCAGACTCTGAAATGAAGCCGTAGACATAAGATCAGGTTGAAAGAGAGCTTTATGGTGGTCACACCAAGACCTAGAATCAGTTCATGAAATAATAATGGAACTTGGGTAGTATGGTAGAGGATAATTCGGTGAAATCTTTGAAATGTAGTTCGGGCCACGTAGGGAGGTGTTGACTGTACTCTGTAGGGCAACCGTACCTAAGGTTGGGGAAAATTGGTGATATGGCTCTAAATCGTTCTCAGTGATGCAGACTCATTCACTTTTTGTGATCTGCCATATTCTTAAATCACATTATTTTTTCAAGTATTGGTTTTGTACGAATTTTATATGATTGGTTGGTGGATTCCAGCCGTAATTAGTATCTTATCAGCATAAAAATAATAATGATAGCAACAGCTTTTTAAAGAAACAATTCCCTTTTATACATTTAGATAGCGTTGTTAGAACACGGAGATTATCTCAAAAATTTGATGCATTCGCGTAATACATTTTGAACAATATGATCACGCACTTACTTGTCAAGTCAATTTATATGAAAAATAAAGGCCAATTAAGGTACAAAAAGTGACAAAAAGGAGTTAAGAATCATAAGAATAATTAACACAACACTTGGTTATACAATCAGATAAGGATTACCAAGGTGGATAAGGAGTATTAACAGATTATTTTTGTCTAAAAGGGGGGTTGGAGCTTAGTCATCGCCTCAGCCTATCGCAATCAGTGCCCTTGACTATTTCCAAGAATAAGCTCAAAGATAACCGGTTGATGATGACTATAAGATAAGGATTACTAAGGTAGGTAAGGCGTAATAATAAACTGTTTTTGAACACGCAGATGAACTTTTGAAAATTAACAGACGCAGGTGGCCGACTACAAAATTCGTGCATATTAAAACATCTAATCGATATGAGTCACAAGACTGGGGTCAAAACACCTTTTAAGGTTGTAATATAAATTATTTAAATTATTCACAGCGTCTTTAAGAAAAAATTAAAACAAGATTTTATTCAATTTTAGGTCTAAAATTGAATTAGACCTCCGTCTTGTGACTCATATCGATTAGATGTTTCAATATGCACGAAGTTCGCAGTCAACCACCTGCGTCTATTAATTTTCAAAAGTTCATCTGCGTGTTCAAAAACAATTTATTATTACGCCTTACCTACCTTAGTAATCCTTATCAAATAGGAAAATCAATAGACGCAGGTGGCCGACTACCAACTTTGTGCATATTAAAGCATCTAATCGTTATGAATCACAAGACGGAGGTCTAATTCAGTTTTCGATCTTAAATGGAATTAAATAATTAATATGACCCGTTGCACAAGAGGTGAGTCTCGTGGTCCGAGTGGTTTAGCGGATAACGCCTTGGAGTTTGAAACTATGGGTACTAGGTTCGAGTCTTGGTGGGAACACCATCACTCACTGCGGAGTGCAGGTACATTCAGTTGACGAGCTCCGAATAGGGCGAAATGCGCATCCTAGATTCCCCTGGTAGTCACCATCTACCGATTATCTTTTAAGGTTATTCTTGGACATAGTCAAGGGCACTGATTGCGATAGGCTGAGGCGATGTCTAGTTGTATAATTAAGCTCCAACCCCCTTTGTGTACAAAAATAATCTGTTATTACTCCTTATCCACCTTGGTAATCCTTATCTGATTGGATAACCAAATGTGGTGATAGTAATTATTGTTATTAGAAGAAGGTATATAAGCGAACAATATTATTTGCAATTAGATCTTCAATCATTACTCTAATTTACATAGATTTATATTTTGTGGATCAATCAATAATGGTAATAATTAAAGTGGTCTACGAGTTCACCTTGTAACCATAAGGTCCTGGGTTCGAATCCCGGTGGGCGAAACAGCTGTCCAATACTCCCTGACTGGTTTCCCAGTGGTTTCCAAACTGATACCAGCTTATGATGAAACCCTCCAACCAATCAGACACAATCTCTACAAAAACCAATACTTGATAAATAATGATAACGATGTGGTAAATGTTTTAAATGTCATTAGTAGCAATGATTATAATGACAACGAAATAATGATAATAAGGTTTATGCATGTGGCGATAAGAATAACGAAAGTAGTAATATCTGTATATGTACACAATTCAACCAGGTCAAATCTTGAAAGTTACGTAATACTAAAGGTGAAGTGGACAGAGAGGTGAACAGAGTTTAAATAAATATCATAAAAGTACGAAGGAAATGGAAAATAAGAAAGGTTGGGAGGGTTTTGATTAGAATTCACCTAGGCCAAGGGAGAGAAAAAGGTAGGACAAACTGCTTTTGTATGCAAAGACTGGCATTGTTCTCTCAAATTCCTATAGCTTCGGCCATGTGTAAAAGGCGTGTTCGAATTCCGTTCGAAAGGCTCGATGGAATGCGATAGATAACTTTGGAGGCCCTATTTTTGTCCACTTGGTGACTGCTATCAATCAAATGAGCCAAAGTAGAACTTCTTATAGATTTTATTTGACCTTTTCCGATCCATGAAGTAAGATGCTCATTAATGCGTTTGTTGAGTTGTGTAGTTGTTTGCCCTATACAGCTCTCTCCATAGTAGCAACTAAATTTGTAGATACGCATAAAAGTGGCACAGCCAGATAACTTGTTTTTCGCTACAGCAATCATAATTGGTCTGTAGCTGGTAACTAACAAACAAAGGGTGGTAGCAGTATAAATCCATTTTATTGCTCTGGATAATCTTAGATATCAGACTTCACTAGCCACGTCGCCACAGTTGTTTCTTTTTAACTGTTGTCAGTTTCTCTTTATTATATCTGGTGTTCATGTGCCTCCTTACAAATCTAATAGGATGACTCATTCGGACCAGCGTATTTTGGATGTATCCTAACTCATTTTCTAGGAAGTCATCTGTACAGATCCGTCTTGCTCTATTTGTGAGGTATCTGACCAAACTGATTTAGTACCGAACTGGTACAAAACTGAGGAAATAAGTAAATTGTCCTACGGATGTAGGTTTTCTCTAGACATCTCTCTTGAATGAACCATCCTCTCTTCTGCTCAAAAGGACATCAAGGAAGTGCAGTCCACCACCATGTTCTTCTTCTTAAGTGAAGTGAGCGATGGATATGCATCACTGAATTTTATCAACAATACATTCTTGTCACCTTTCTCATCACGAATAATAAACATATCATCAACATAACGTTTCATCTATTACTTGTTTCAATGGACCATTTTCAAGCTTAGCAAGAAAGAAATCTGCCAAAATTGGACCCAATGGAGAACAAATGGCAATACCGTCAATTGCCTGTAATAAAGGTTGTTGCATGTGAAATGTACATTCATGATACATCTTAAAAGCAACTCTTTCAGACTAATAACTGGAATTCCAATGTCAAACTGTTTTTCTAGTATCTATTGATATATGAATTCCACAACCTCCATAAGTGGTACATTGATGAACAGTGATGCGACATCTAAGGATAGCATTTGCTTCCCATTTACATTAATATCATGTACGTTAGAAATGAATTCAGAAACGTCTTTGACACTATGATTTACCAGATTCTTGTGTAATGGTTGGAGGAGCTCACTTAGTTACTTTGCCACTCCAGGGTAGGTGGAATTAGACATATCTAGGACTGGGCGAAGAGGAATTCCTGGTTTATGTACTTTGGGCAGACCATACAATCGTGAAGCACTACTTCCAGTAGGTTTAAGACGGTTGAAAGCTGCCTCTGAGACTACTACACTTTTTCTCTGCTACTAAAACGTGTTAGTTAGCTGCTTTTCAGCCTTTCTGTCTAGATCTGTTGGGTTGTTAATTTTTATATATAAATCTATGTAAATTAGAGTAAAGCCTGAAGAAGATCTAATTGAGAAAAATATTTCTTGCTTATATTGTCTTGTTTAAATACTTATAATAGCAATATTTAAAGATTCTTGTTATTCTGAAGTCCTTTTTGTCACTTTTTGCACTTTATTTGGCCTTTATTTTTCACATAAATTGACTTGACAAATAAATATGTTGTGGTGGTGTGTTACAGACAATGTGTGTCAACATATTCCCACAGCTCAATACTGCGTTAGCAACAGAATACCATATATCTTTTTGAGCATTCCATTTCCTGTCCTTTAGTATAAGCCAAAATCACCAGCTTAGTGATTGGTTAAAGAATATAAACTGTATATATATAGAAATAGCGGTTTGATCAATAAAAAATATACCTTGTCCTCCGTCTCTTGCCTTCTGCTGTTACAATGTGATCCGATTGTTCGAAATGTATTGCGCGAATACATCAAAGTTTTGAGATAATCTCCGTCTTCTAACAACACTGTTCGAATAACAGCTTTATTCTGTATTTATTCTGCATTTAGACATAATACGGGAATTTCAGCGAGTTTCATAGCTAGGCATTTACTCTTTTTGTAGACTATGGAGTTATAAATTTAATTTACCGTATGTTAGACAAAGCCATACTGCATTACGCAAACTCACTAACATTTTTAAGTTTTGAAAGTGAATGAACAAGTAGGTAACTGAATCGGTTTCATTCCTAAACAGCGCGAGATTTACATCTAAGTACAGAATCAGTAATTCTAAAGAAATTGTTCCAGAATTTTTATTTCTTCTTAACATTGGAAATTTTCTTTTTATCACTATTAAACCGCCATTATTTACTAAAAAAACATGACATCAGAGAATAAAATGTTTAAAATCTCTTGAAACAAAGATCACATATACTTACTGTTGCAAGTCCATCACGTTTCGATTTGTGCGGAATAATTTGTTGGCACAGACTTTTCAACCATTCGCCTACGCTTAAATCTTGAACAGTTTGATCTGGATCGTCAACAGAGTTTTTGATCAGTTCAATTTGTCGTAGACATCCTTCAAATTTGGCTAGATTTGTCTTAAAGGTATGCAGAATTTCTCTGTATCTGCGTAGCGACATAAAGGCTAAGCTTAAAACATTCTGTGCTTTAGAACAAGTGTCTTCTAATCTATTCAAATCTACACTTTGGTTTAACAATAATTCTGCTCTTGTATTACTACTACTACTACCACTACTGCTGCTACTGTCATAACCTGTTTTGAGTAGTGATTTAGCCTTATCACAAAACACATTCATACAGTTCTTCCATTCCAGTGATTTTGATTCAATATTCTGTAAAGATTGAAAGAAGGAAAGAAAATTAGCTAAGTTAGTCAACTCATCAAGTGATTGAGCATCGTCAACAAGAGTGAATAATATTCAGCTTTGTTGAGTACAACACACGATTGGTACACACTTTACAGTTGTTATTAAACAGCAGTACTTGGCTGTCATTTCAACTTATATTTGTGTGTAATTATGTGTATCATAGTTAATTCTTTTCAAATTTGCAACTGTTGATAATAAAACAGGAATAAATTAAATCTTACATATTTTTATTTTCTCTCATTATCATCCAAATCTGCGCTTGAAAGTGAAAATGTCTAAGTAGATTTGCTAGGGTCTTACATTGTTATGGGAAAAGGTGAATCTAGGTAACAAGGTAAAAGTGTATAAACCTAATTAACAAGTATTCCTATTGTTGCATTGTTTAACTTACAGTCTGAATTAAAACTGGTTTTTGCTGTTTAGATCCTTTTGAAACTATTGGGTTATCCTCCCTTATTAAAGACAATTCCCAAAGACTCAGTAATGACATACTAAAGGAATGTTAGATGGAGACTGTTTCATTGTTTACCTGGTCGATATGCTTCATACTTACTCTGTAGTTTAAGATTGCATAATTGAGAAGAAATAAACTGCAAATAAACAATGAAATAAATAAGTGAGTATTACACCTATTCCTTTGGTTACACAATGGTTATCACTTCAGTGTAGTATCCGATGGTTAGTCCGTCTGCAAAAGTATTCTGGTACCAAATGGGTCAGATAATCTGTCTTGTCCCTAATAAAGTAACCTCAGTCAATATTATAACTTGCAGTACAAATGCTGTGGCTTAGTAGTTGAAAACACCTATCACTGATATACTATGCAAAATGTTATTTGAAAGAAAAGCAGCGTGGTGGGATAAAAAAAACCAATTGTGATAACCTACATCTAGTTCCCGAAGCTTTATTTGCACAAAATTAGCGTTAACTTCAATTATATTCTCATTTGATCCATCATCGTCCACAGATGAACTACTGTGTGATAATATGCACCAGAAGCGATGATCCATATAGTAATCCACTGTCGTTCCACTTTCAATACACTCAACTACATTTATAGGTACCAGATAAGATTCATGAATGAACCAGTCAATAGATTCATTTAATCCTGTCAAACATGTGCGTATATCATCGGAATTCGTTGTCTGGTGCTTTGTACCCTTTATTGATCTCACTGAAGAACTGGTTGTCTTTGTAGACAAGTCTGCATTAAGTGGAATTTCTTTGACAGCGAACACTTGACTGTATACTTTGTTTTCATTAGATCTGATGAAGAAAAAATTAAAACAATACAGTGGGTCAAAAGTGAAAAATCATGTGATATAGAAAAAAAACCAATGTGAGTCCTGTTACAATCAGATAGCACCATAGTCATGAGATTCCAGCCTGTGCAAAGCAAGTAAGTTCCCTAACTATATTCCCTGAATAGCCACAATCTAGCTGTGGCGGTACAATTGAATTCATCTCACCTCATACATTGTACGAAGTATAATTTACAGCTGTTAATCTGGGATAGACTACTGGTTTTTATTCCGCTTATTAAAAAATACATAGAGTATTTAAAGTATGAACTGAATTCACAATTTACAATTAACACAATTCGAAGAAGTGAAATCTCTCACAACAGTTTCGTTTGGAAACCAAATTTATTTAAAATGTGGAATTTGATATTCCACAGCTTATTTACAATTGACTTTACGGCCACAAAACAAATACAAATGGTTTGTTGTGCATAATGATTGTCAATATAATCGCTTTCAAAAAGAGAAACGTAAAACACGAAAATTCTAGCTGTAGTTGGCCACGAAATTAAGCTAAAACACTCGGAGTACGTCTGTACTTAATGGTTAAATAAAAAAAATATTTTAGTATATTCCTTACGATAGGCTAATTACTCACTTAAAATTACTTTATTGGCGTTAATTATCCGAAAACATAGTTGGATAACGGGCGTGATATGGAAAGTTACTTTTTTTCACAGAATGATTTTAGAATACACCGACTGAATCTCTGTCCTGATTCCTCACGATCAAGAGAATAGAATTTGAGCATTTATAAATTTATTGGTGGCTCGGATGGTCGACAATAGTCAAACCAATAAGACTCAGTTATACGAAATAAGCACCATATATATATATATATATAGTTTATCATTAGACGTTTTAGTGAATCTTTTTGTTTCCTAACACTAACTGTAGAGCCATTTACAATAGAAATATAACTTTTTCTTGGCACTCCTGATAAACCATTAAGACTGCCTTTAATTTAAAAAAATTAACGTTAACACGTGGTATTTCCATCCTTCACGGGGTCATCACTATACTCAGGAAGTGAGCAAACATATATTTAAAAGCAAATCACATTCTGAGAGTATTCACTGGTGCCATCCAGCACGAGGTGATACGTCTACTTTGATAAACGTTGACACAAACATTTGTTCATACAGCAATTTTAGCAAATTATTATAACTGTTATTTTTAATGACGAGACTGCTCAGATTCCATATATAGAAGAATTCCAATAAGAGAGCACCATACTGAAACTGATCGATTCTTTTAGTCCGGTCAATCATAAGTATGTATTTAGTACTTCAGGTCGAATTCAATTCTAGGCATACTGGACCCCGATCCAATGGCCCAGTGGCTTAATGGTCTACAAGCTCGCCTCGGGTTCGAGCCCGGAAGGGTGCATACTGATGAAGATTCCCAAATTAGGACGAAGCAGCTGTTCAGTACTCCCAGGTTTTCCAATAGTTCTCTAACCAATGTCAGTGCTCATGATGAAATCCTGTAACCAATCAATCGAATCCCTACAAACCAATACTTGAATATTATCAACTTGTTTGTAATACATAGTTGCATATTTATTTCAAGACTAGAATCAATCTCACAAAGGCAAGTTCTCCAGTAGAAATCTAAAAGATGTATTCTCAAATGACAAGATTTTGGACAACAGAAATTGTTGCGTTTAAATAGCAAGACTATGAACCACTACTGTCTCTCCTCATTCTGAATTACATACAAATCCAAGAAATATTGGTCACAAAAAAGAACTTAGAATTTAAAAACAAAATCAGTAGCTGAGTGAAAAAGCCATGAAAAAAATTTGATTTGTTGGCCAAAAACATTTGACCACTACTGTGCGGAAAAGAAAAAGATAGTCGATTCCACTTCTTTTTGAAACAGACAAAACGAGATGAAAGAAAAGCAAGCAAACAGGCGGACAGTATTCTATAAAAATACGATGGATTTAACACAGATACTGACGACAATGGAGACAGTAAATAACTTAAAAAATTTCTGAACTTCATTTGATTAAATCTAAACTTGGTGCCATCAAGATATTAAAGCCAAGCAAGATCTGGAAGGCAATACAGGCGTTAATTACTCTGAAATCCGTGTGGAGATCAGCACCTACAAAATCGAAGAACTGATTTCAGGTCACTGATTCAACATGCTTCAGAAATATAATACATCACCAAAATCATTTCTGACAGGCTTTCTAGCCTACCTTCATCGACCACTGCCTTCACTCAGCACTGGAGATCAGATAGCCAATCGGAAAATGCAAGCCATAACGAGCTCTGGCAGCGATCCAGCCAGCAGTTTATTGTTCAACAAATATATAGAAGTAAAAGGAGACAGAGTGAGCATACGCTGAAAAGGCTGTCGATTGACATCATAAGTTAGGTAAACCCTCGAGTGAAAATCGAATGAGAATGAATGGCAGGGAGTGACAGTAAAGATATCATATAAGGAGTAAATGCAAGCTTATGGACAGTCGTAGAGGTTGATTAAAAAGATGGTGAAAAGCAGAATACAATGGAGATGGACTTCTGAAACTCCATGTTTCACTGGGTAGTCGAGAAACAAATAACAACAATTAATATGCAGCATACCCATTTTCAATCTTAAGAGGAATTTATATACACTGACAAACTTATTATTATCATTCTCAAAAATGCTCTATACACTTGCAAGGATTTATTCTGAATCCCGGTGTGCGAAACATGCTATGATTTCCACAATAAGGGAATTACTTGAAGAGAGTCAAACATCTGCGAATGAAGAATAGCTATGGGTATTAGAACTATACGCCTGAATTGTTAGTTAAATGATAATGGGGAAACATTAAGTGATGAAAGTTCTACTCTCACGCAACAGAGTGTAAGCCAGGAAGCATTTAGAAGTCAGGTTTAAGGTTTTCGATGAAATTGTGTTCTTCTACATGTACATGACTGCCCATGTCTACGAAGACTGAAAGTACCCTAAGGAGTCTGTTAACATGGTTTAGATAATTCTTAATTGTAATTAACGGAAGTAACCTGAGGAATCAACAATGAGAATCAGACTTTCAACTTAAAATTACTAATTACTTGAACCACTTATTTCAGGGGTCTTTCAAAGCGAAGAAGATTTAAACAGGTCAAACTTGTAACGGAAAACAAAGTGGCAGTCCTGAAACATACGAATTATTTATTTGAAAATGCAAGAGAATTACACAAGTATGATATATTTTACATGACATATATTTTTATACACGTTCAACTATATCATCATCGGAAGATTTTCACCCAGTATCTCTGCCTGTTTTGATTTGATCACGTCTGTGTAGGTATTGGTCATTTTTTATTCTATAAAATTCACTTTGTAACAGATTCAACAGTAAAAGTTGATCTCTAATGATATGCTGCAGAACACATTGCACAAGTGGAATGTCAGTGGACAATTCAAACAGTCTATCTTTTAGTCTGCTCTCCACACTTAATGCAACCAGAATAGTGTCTTCAATTGTTTTTAACTCACAAAGATTATTTGTATGAATGAATGGAGAAATTCTGTCAACTAAACATTTCGCACCATTTATTGTCTGCCAACAAATCATTTTCACACAAACATTCTTCATACGACAACTGCATAAATCGAAGAATGCTTGGAACAATAACTGTTTTTTAGTATTTCGAGTCATTTTGCACCAACATATAAGAAATTCGTAAGTTGTTAATGCAGAAAGAAATATGCTGATTGTCTTGTTAAGCAGTTTCTCCAACTGTTTTCTCTCCTTTTCTCGGCTTGTGTGCATTTTGTATGACGGACAACAACTTGCTTTCTCATATGTATATATATATATATATATATATGGCAATCAATGAAATGAACTAGGTTACTAGGTCAACTGAATTACGACAGTGTTTTCAGTATTGTTTATTTACTGGCCTCTAATTTGCTATTATTTTCAAAATTTCAAAGTTATAACTTGTATCAATTGTCATGAGGCGATCATTTTTAGGAGAAAATAATAGTCTGATATGACTTCCAAGCCCTGTCCCCATTTTCTTGTTTGCAAAATATCAGTATCTACAATTCACATGAGTATTTTCATATGGTTCATTTGAATGTATTTGAGGCAGCTAACATTCATAGACTTTTCTGCGTAATTATAAATCATAAAGACTGAGGTCAACATAAAGTCTTGTGTGTCTGACGTTTTATGTACCAGTTATTCTTTCATATCTGGAAATAATAATGCCTCAGAAATTATTCATCGTATCTTATATAATCCCACCCTTAGATATGATAGAGAAGATTTGTAGCTCAGGTGAATGATTTTGGTGTGATTGTGTTCTCTAAGCTGAATAGTTAATAGTTTGCGAAGCTGTCATCACCCTACTAGGTGACATCTTCAGCGCATACTTCAATTTGAAGTGAGCTTTTAGATTTCTCCATGAGTTTATTAATCATCTCTCCCGGTGACCTTGGACGTGATTGGCTGTTTCTGTGTGTTTTCACACCTTCTAGGCTACTTGTATTGGAACTGATTGATTCTTTGACTTGAATTTTGACCCTTTGTATGTGAGGTTTCTTTCTTATCGGTTGATAAATGTTGTCTATCTCGATGTGTCTATTGATTGATGATTCACTGAAATGCCAAGCTTCTAAAAATTCTCTAGCATTCTTGTTGTTAGAGAGAGAATTTTTGGAAGCTTGGCATTTCAGTGAATCATCAATCAATAGACACATCGAGATAGACAACATTTATCAACCGATAAGAAAGAAACCTCACATACAAAGGGTCAAAATTCAAGTCAAAGAATCAATCAGTTCCAATACAAGTAGCCTAGAAGGTGTGAAAACACACAGAAACAGCCAATCACGTCCAAGGTCACCGGGAGAGATGATTAATAAACTCATGGAGAAATCTAAAAGCTCACTTCAAATTGAAGTATGCGCTGAAGATGTCACCTAGTAGGGTGATGACAGCTTCGC